GAATGTACAGGTATGGTCGGCTTGTCTTGCAGGGAGTAGAATAGGGCCGCCTCTGCAGCGCTCTCGGGGCTCATGGAATGCGTAGGTTCTGCCGAAGATCCGATCTCATCCGACCCCACTACTGAGCTTGTGGAGAGGTTGCCTGCTACGCCAAATTTCATCTCCATCGTACTGGCCGTACTACCCTGCGACTTCACTTTCTTGGTCGTCGACTGTGCTGAAATCGCCAGTGTAGCTGACATTGAATGCGCTGTAACCGGTTTTGCGCTTTCAGGACCTTTGGTAACAATAGGTGTTATCGTAGATTCTAAGGCCTCTAAAAACGAGACCGGACTTATGGCAAGTTGATCTCCCGTTGCTGTAGCTGGCATCGAATGCGCGAGCGTGGAAGACGCTGACGCCTCTTCTGCCTTTTCAGAGCCTGCGAAATTATCAGTAGGTTCTCCCGAAGATGTCAATTCGTGCGACCCCGCGACTGAATTTTTGGAGAGGTTGCCTGCTATCCCAAATTGCACCTTTACCGTACTAGCTTTATGATCCTTTTGTTGGGTTGATTGTGCTGAAATCGCCAGGTTAGTTGATATTGAACTAGCAGCCGTGGTAGATGAGGTAGCAGCCTGTTTATCGCTTTCAGAACCCGTGATGGCAATGGGTCCCATCGTAGATTCCAATGCCCTCCACAATTCACTCGGACTTACGGGAAGGTGATCCCCTTTTAACACGTCCACCGTGCTGGGAGAGCCGGCTTTCGATTTCAAGGTCACGCCCTGTTCCACCGATTCTGTGGAGTCTGGTAGTTCAGTTGGTATCGAGTGCGCGACTGTGGGGAGGGATGTAGTCTCCTTAGCCTTCTCCGACATTGTTGTGTCAACGGGTTCCACTGTAGATCCAATAGCATCCGACAATTCGGCCGGACCAGCAGAGACGGTCTCGTTTGCATCTGTTTGTTCATCTACTTTGCTGGGCGTAATCTGCTCTGACTGCGAACTCACACTCTTCTCCGTCGAATATACTGGCATGGTCGGCGTGCCTGGCAGAGTATGGGCAACACTATGAATCACTGATGCCTCTTCAGTTTGACCCTTCTGCGTACTCGGCGAAACCTCACCCCGGTTCAGGTTCTCTTCTGTTGATTGCCCCGAAGCTGTCGGTGTAGTGAGCATCGAACTGACGGCCAGGGTAGACGCCGGAACTTCGCCACCGGTCTCGGTTACTGCCCAATCAGTGGGTTCTATCGTGGTTCCCCTGTCATCAGACATCTCTAATGGAATTGCGGAAATGTGGTCTGCTGTCTCTATTTGCACCTTCGCCGTACTCGGCGTATTTTCATCTGACTTCAAGTTCTGTTCACTTGATTGCCCAGTGATTGTCGGTGAAGTTATCATCGAATGCGCAACCGCGGTAGACGCTGACGCCTCTTCGGCTACTTCAGAGCTTGTGAAATTAGTAGGTTCTGACGAAGATCCCATGTCACTCGACATTTTGACTGAGCTTGTGGAGAGGTTGCCTGCTACGCCAAATTGAATCCCCACCGTACTGGCCGTAATATCATCCGACTTTACGTTCTCTTCTGTTGATTGTGCTGAAATCGCCAGAGTAGCTGACATTGACTGCGCAGCCGTAGTAGACGCTGACGCCTCTTCGCCGCTTTCAGAATCTGTTGAACTAGTGTGTCCCATCGTAAATCCTAAGCCCTCTGAAGACGTGACCGGTCTTATGGGATGGTGAGCTGTTGTTACTGTGGTTGGCATCGAATGTCCAACCGTGGTAGACGCTGACGCTTCTTCGGTTTTTTCAGAGCCTGTGAAATCAGTATGTTCTGCCCAACTTCCCATGTCAACTGGCATCTCAGGTGAGCTCGTGGAGAGGTTGCCTGATACCCCTGTTTCCATTCCCACAGTACCGGCCGTCATATCCTCTGAATTTACTTTCCCTTCTGTTGATTTTGCTGAAATCGCTGGTGTAGCTGACATTGCATGCGCAGCCGTGATAGGTGTTGGAGCCTCTTCGGCTACTTCAGTGCCTGTGAAATTGGTAGGTTCTGACGAAGATCCCAATTCACCCGACGTCTCGACTGAGCTAGTGGAGAGGTTGCCTGATACCCCTATTTCCATTCCCACAGTACCGGCCGCTATATCCTCTGAATTA